TCATTGTCATTGTCATTGTCATTGTCATTGTCATTGTCATTGTCATTGTCATTGTCATTGTTATTGGCACTGTCATTGTCAGTGTCATTGTCATTGTTACGACTCCAATCTTTTCTTAGCATATACTTGCTTGTACTTCTCTCTGCGCTTGTTTATGTGTTTGTATTGTTTCCTGCGTTGTATTTTTGGCCTATGCATGTTTAAATTTTATGTTTGCCAATGTGTTGGGCACTCGCCATAAATGTGTGCATGTGTATGTGTGCGTGAGCCTCGCTGTGCTTCTGTGTGTGAGAAGTTGTCGAAGCAAATGTTTGGCAACATGTGCCACGCAGCGGCAACATGCGGCTTGCATATAAATTGCCAAGTGCCTCGCCGCTCCACTTCGAATTGTGCTCGACTTTCTTTGCTCTTTTCTTTTTTTGGTGGCACTCAGCCAGAGCTGGCAAATGTTGGGAAACATTGATTTTGGCTCAAATTCGAAAAGTGAACACGAGACTTAATTAAATTTGCCTAATTGAGCCGAGAAGGCATTGATTCTGACCCAAAGCCTTTGACATTCACCATCTACTCGCTGTGGTCACAATATCCGTTAGCTGTCAACGGGGCCACTGACAGCAATGGCCACAATCTGATGTCAACTGTGAAGTCAACTGTGAGCGAATGTTCCCTCACAGACACCCACAAACAAACACACACACACACGCACACACACATTCATTAATCATTAAACAGAGCTCAAATGCTGCTGGACTGTGCTGGCTAGAGCATTTTGGCATCATAATTGTCATATGTATCGCAGCTCCTAGTGGCCCTAAGCCCACATAAATATATAATTTTTTCTATGCTTAATAGGGCATAAATGGGTTTTGGGTGTGAAATCAACTTCCGTTGAAATTCAGTTCCAACCGAAATCTAAAAAGTTTCTTATTAATTGATTCGTATCTATAAATAAGCCCGCCAGCCGATAATTATCAATGAACCCAGACGTTAGCAATCAAGTATTAAACTTTTTCAATTGTTGAACCACAAAAAAAGTTAATTACTAAACAAAACAATTGCTCAGCATATGTCAAGGCCCAAGTTCTATATTTAAATGCGTTTGTTTATTTTCATTCATTTTCATTGGAATTGATTGATGAAAATGTTTTGTGAACTTGCTATTTTTACTAGGAAATGTCAGCTATTTGTGGCATAGCTAACTAGCGAATTCTATTGAGAGTTAAATATCTACAAAATCTAAAATATTATATATTCATTATTATAAATACAAAATCAAATTTAATAAAATTGATATCAATATTTAATAAATTTCTGCATAATATTGGAACATATTAATTATTTGTTAATTGCAAGTTGGTTACTAAAAAGTCTAGGTCGGCATCAATTGCCCATGCGAATGGCCACAGGCGACGCTTGACACTAAAATTGGCGTTGAGTCAAACGAGAGGCAAAGCTTTAAAAGCCGACGAGCAAGAAAAAGTCTCTCAGCAGAGAGAGAGAGAGAAAGGACTCTGGTCTCTCCCTCTCTCTCTCTCTCTCTCGTTTATCGCGCTCTCGTGTTAGTTCGCAAAGCTTTTGGCCCTGAAACGATGGCAGTGAAACAAAACCAAATCGTTCCGCAAAGGGCCAAGCACAACAACCACTCTTGTTGGCCAACACCTGCTGGTCGCTGCAGGTGGCCAAGTTTCTGTTTTTTTTTTTCGGTTTTTCTTTTAGGTTTGGGTTTTTTGGGCCAGGCATATATATTCACTTAATGCGCGCCCGTGTCCGTTTTGCTTGATGCGCCACGTTCGCAGTTGGCTGCTGCCCACCTGCCCTGCCCGCCTCCTGCCGCCCCGCCTGCTGGTGCTGCAGCTGCCCCAGCTCTTTATCCACATAGCCTAGCATTTTTTGGCCCGTTAACGCGTGACTTCGAGTGCCCTTAATGCTGTAAATGAATATTTAATGTTAAAAGCACTTGTCGAAAATGCACCAGCAGCAGCAGGAGGAGCAGCAGCAGGAACAGCAGCAGCAGCAGCAGGAGAAGGTGACGCCATGGTCGAAAGGTAACTGCAGCCAATGGCTTTGCCTCGGCCGCTTCACTTAACGAGCGAGTTGATTTTAAATTGTTTTTGCAATTGGAGCATGCGATTAAAAATAAATAGTTGCAGTTGCCTTCGAAGAAGGGCCTCGCAAATTAGCGTTAACTTTAAAGTTGGCCAACAACTGGCTCCAGTTGGCTTGCCCCGGCTCGGCCTGCTGTGTTTACAGTTGGCTCAGCAAACACACCCCCAGCATTTGCGGCCAGCAGCAGCAGAAGCAGCAGCAGCAGCCGCAGCAGCAGCAGCTAGCATAAATAATGCGTAGCCGGGTTAGGCTACTCAAGCTCAAGCTCCTGGCTGATAGCTAAGAACCTTGTTTGTTACGCCGACTTCGTCGAGTTCTGGTGCGGCTGAGACAAATGTTTATAAACCGCTTAATTATTCACTTGGCCCAGTTTTTAGCCCAGCTGCGTGCCGCCCTCTTCCACTTGGAGCCTTAGCGGCGCCAAACAAATTGACAGAGTCGCACAGATTGCTGTGGTGCTAAGCTGAATGCCCCATAAATCACAGCCGACACGACTCGCACCTCAATTTCTCATAATTGTTGAACTTTATTTCACTTCAAGTTACAAAACAGCGATAATCTCATTTTACACAGCATATATATAAATATATATATATTTTTATGTATTTATATATATGTATATAAACAAAATACATACATAAAATACGAAAAGCTAAGCCACATGCTCGCATGTCTTCGAATAATTGTTCTTTATTTAGTGAAATTTATATCAAAAAATTATTAAATATGTTCGGCATGAATTCCCTTGACAAAAAGATTTGAAAATTTTTTGTTGGGCAATTAATTGTCATAACTGATTATTCGAATAGTGCGACTCACATAACTTTAATGAGTTTTTATTGGTCGCTCCAACAGTTTCATTAAAGGAAAGAATAATTATGTTCTTAGTAAATCAAATACATTTAATTAAAGCTAACAAATAATTACTAAAATATATGTATGTAAAATGTTTTTTTAAATAAAAAAATTACATTTTATTTTATAAAATGTTTGCTTACATTTTAATTTAGCAACAAACTTTCAGCCGCTAACTAATGATAATTTATTACATAAATAATTAAATAATTAATTTATTACATAATTTAATTAAAAAAGGTTAAAATTCCCTCAATTGAACTTAAAAATTCTTTGGTTTACTTATGAGTACTTATGAGTAATAATACCTTACAGCTCTATTTCAATTAAATGTCGTAAGCAAAAAATCTAATTCGATTCAAGTTCGATTTTGGAACGAGCTTTCATGAATTCAATTACGTACATTCCCTTATCAGTAGGAGCATTTACGCACTGGCTACGTTCGCTTTCCCACTACAAAAACGCGGAATCAGATCCAAAATTTTTCACATTCGAGTTCCAGCTGTGGTCCGCTGCGGATGTTGCCGAGCATTGGAGAAAATGATATTTATTGGAATACTCGTGACATTGATTTCATCAGCCGGAGCAGAGGAAATATCCGATTGCGACTATTTCGATACAGTTGACTTGACGTTCAGCCAACGGTTCGACAATGGCAGCTATGAGTACGCGGGAGTTTTGATACCACCAGATCAGACTGGCACCTACAACTATAAAATAGTCTTCAGGGGCACACGCAGCTCGGTCGCTGAGCATGTGAGAGGATGTGTTTGCAAGTTCAAGCCCTGCATACGATACTTTTGTCATCGGCATCGATACGACTTGTCTGACGAAAGCAAATGTGTGAAGGAGCTTAGCAGCTATGTTGTTCCAATCACATTATCCAACGGCACTGAAATCTATACCGAAGTCTTCGATCAGTTTGTTGTGCAGCCAGGAATACGCAGCAAATGTGATGATATCCTGTACGTTAATATTTTCTGTGATGACAGCTGCAAACTGTTCGAGGTGCGTTTGTCAGTTGAAGGTCTAGACTGAAAATATAATATGTTTATATATGATATATTTATATGACCTATGTAGAATGGAACCATGTTTATCTCTGAACCTGTGGAATATCTAACAAAGTGGGGCTATAGCTTACATCCGAATGAGACTGTAAGCAATGGACTTAACTACGGTCTGTGGGGCTATAAATGTATTCATTATCATGGCGTGACTTTCGGTAAGGTATAAATATTATATGGATAGTTCATAAAAAGGATATACTATAAAAAAAAAAAAACAAACATTATTCATAATTCTTCTATATTGTCTATATATCTTCTATTTCTCTTTTCTCTTTTAGTTGTTTTGACTTCTTTCGTTTTTTTGCTGCTGACGATCTTGATTCACATAATCGTGGTTAGAGTTAAGCATATTCATGATAAGTGCTTCCTCTGCTATTTGCTGTGTATCTTAGCGGATTTCTCTCTGAGCTTTGTGATCTACTCAGAGACGTTTCTCTTTGGCGCAAGCTGCTACATTGTGGGTGAGTGCGAGCATATGGATGGAGTGGAGCGGAAAGGGAACATCTGAATGAAGTATATTAATATATCTTTCTGTTAGCCTATCTCGCTTTCTTTTTCAAAATGGCAGTTTACCTCTGGCTGACAGTTCTGGCCTTCGATCTCTGGCGAAAATTTGTTTCGCACAGGTTTGAGGTGGGCGACAATGACGCCAAACGACGATTCCTTCACTACAATCTGTTCTCTTGGGGCACTGCTGCTGTCCTATTATTGATCACAATTATTATGGACTCTATGTTGGATAATCTGGATATCAGTGTTCATTTGAAAATTGGCTATGCCTATTACGATTGCAGTGCGAAAAGTAAGTGGAGCCTAACCAAAGTTTGTATCAATACTCTTCTTAATACTCTTCCCCAGTGAGCGACTTGTCGTATGCAATATATTTCCTAGCACCCATTTCTGTGCTGGTTGTCTGCAATACATTAATGATCATTTGGACTGCCAGGGACATTTACGCGGAGTCTCGCAGAACTAACGAGCAACTGGAACGACTCGGCGCACAGAATGTCAGGAATACAAGAATGCGGTATGAGCCCAATAATATATTTCGTTTGTTTAGTAATACTGATTACATTATTTACGTGCTCTCAATTCAGCTTCGTAATCTTTTTGCGCTTCTTCACAATTGCACTCATGGACTGGCTCCTCGATCTATGTGGAACTCTCTACAATCAGAAACGAGCCTATTCTCCATTTCTCTATTATTCCATCATCTACTATGGCAACGCAAGGAGCACACTCCTCTTGGCTGTGACTCTGTGCCGCACAGATGTGAGACACTTGCTGAAACTTTGGTGGCATAGTCGTTAATTGACATTCACATAAACAAGTTGGAGTGATCTAGTTGAGACTGCTCGACTACGACATAACCTGAGCCCTTCGAAGAGCTGGCATTCCAATGATTCTTCTTCTTCAAGCTTTCATAATGACATGCGTATGAGTTTACGTGCCAAATAACAAGTCAAAGAGTTGGGCCAGAATGAAATAAATAACAAAATATATAACCAGTATAAAATAATATTTTTTTATTTAATTTTCGATATGGTATCGATATCATTAAAAGTTAGTTAAAGTTATACCAGAATACAGACAATTTAAAATATATAAATTATTAATCAGTGAATAAAATTATTATGGATTTACAAATAATGTTTTAAATAATGTATATCAAACCTAATTTTATTTAAAATAAATTTTAAAATATGAATTATTATTTTTTATTTAATTTTTAATATGTTATCGATAACATATAACAAATATTCCAATTTATAAAAAATAATTCCAATTTACAAACAATTTTAAACACAAATTATTAGCCCGTGCAAACAATTTTTATGGATTTACAAATAATGTATTGAATTTTTTTTTTTTTTTTCAAACATAATTTTATTTAAAATAAAATTTAAAGTATGAATTATTATTTTTTATTTAATTTTCGATATGTTATCAATAATAATAATATAAAAAAAGTTGGCCCAATTTACAAACAATTTTAAATACAAATTATTAATCAGTAAACACATTTTTTATAGATTTACAAAAATTGTTTTAAGCAATTATTTTCAAACATAATTTTATTTAAAATAAATTTAAAAATGTTTTATTATTATTCTTATTATTTTTCATCATCATAATTTGTTAAAGTTTGCTTTCTTTTATTCTCAGTTGGTGCATGTACTTTAAGATGAGCTGAGCTGAGCCAGCTCTTGCCTTTCGGGCTCACTTGTGTGCCGTCTCTCAAATTGACCCTGTTTGTGTGGGGAGCGAAAAGTGAGGCACGAGGCATGAGACATAAGGCGTGAGGCAAAGGCGAGGCTCGCGCTCAATTGGCAGCATGTCAAGTCAACTCAAGTAAAATTTATTTGTTACAGCCACAGCCAAGGGCCAGACAGGAGAGATTGTAGAGTGCAGAGTCAGTCAGTCAGTCAGTCAGTCAGTGAGTCGGTTATTGTGTGAGCCAGTCTAAATATAAACTGCTCTTCTGTTGCTGCTGAATGTGTTCCATTTTGCGTTTGCTTTGCCTGTCAGCGCAATTGCTGTTATGGCTGTTATTGCACTTAACGCACTTGCGCCTCCCCACACACACACACACACACACACACACACACACACACTCACACAAATTGAGAGACAGAGAGTCGAGTATAGAGAGCTGCATGAATGCTGAATGACACACAGAGACAACTGGCAACTGGCAACGGCAACTGGCTGCAATTATGGTGTCTCAATGCGTTTTGTGCGTGGCTTTCGCAGTTAGCCTGGAAGCCCGGCCAGCAAGCCTGCCATCGCATATTTGCAACAGCAGCGGCCACAACGATGGAGACGAGAAGACAATAGCATTGAATGCCCATGGGGCAGCCATTAGCCTAATAACGCACACTCACACACACACACACACACACACACACACACTTACACACCTACGCTCAGTTCGCACATCGTTGTCTCGCCTTGGCGCTCTTCCCCATTTTTCGAGCTGACAAACAGTAGACATGATGAGCGCCGCCTCAGCCACAGCCTCAAACAATTAACATAAATAATGGCCAGGTGGTCGACTCAGTCGACATTGTCTATCCATTTTATGGGCACACTACCTCATCCCCCTTAGCGCTCTCTCTCTCACTGTCTCTCTATCTGTCTTTCTTTCTGTATTTGCATTGTAAGTGGAATATATAATTTTTTGCACTTTTCATTTTTAATCATGGCGCTGGCGACACGCTCCAAATGCCAACAACAAATGCAATGTGTGTCACGAGTGCAAATAAAGAGGTGCGACAATTTGTCAAGTGTTTGAATAATTTCACTTTTCTCTTTTTTTTTCTTTTGCTTAGAAGGGTTTGCAAATAATTTGCCTATTTTAATAATTAACTAATTATTTTATTTATAATATTATTTATTTTGTATACATTTATTGATTTTCTAATCATTTTATTAACTTATTTATGATAATAAATAGTTATATTATTAATTTATTTTTTCTTTTTACTTTTTTTTTATTTTTGTATGTATAATTTTATATATATTTTATTTATTTATTAAATTATTTTTTTCTTCTTATTTTAAATTAATTTAAAATAATTAATTGAGGTTATATTTCATTAAAGATATTAGGATTTATTTTAAATTGATTAATTCCATCTCGATATAATAAAAATAATAATTTGTGCAATAAATAAATCCATTTAAAATAACAAATAAATATATTAGTATACACATATATGCATGCATAAATAATTAATTAATTAAATCAATATATAAATATTAAAATAAAATAAAAATAATGAATGAAACTGTATATTGCCGCAATATCTCTGCTTCGGCAGTTGAAACTTTGTTAATGAGATACGATTCACAGACTCTATCAAACCCAAGCGCCCACACAAATTTCGAATACATTTGAATATTTCCATAACTCAACATATTCGAATATCTAAAAACATTTGCCCGTGTACGATTATTGGAAATCGTATCAGCTGCATTTTGCGCACATCTATAGGGGTAATTTCATTCAGCATTTCAGCTTTCAATCTCCGCTCTAGTTTTCGTTACGGTGCAAAAGGCGGCGAAGAGCTGGTGAAAAGTTTGCGCAAGTATTTTGAGCCAAATGTCGAGTGGAACATGTGACAAAACTTTAAGTCGAAATTGCTTTGGCCAAATTGTTACTCAAAGTGAATGCCGAGAACGCCCCAGCACTTCAGCATTCAGAGCTGAACTGTCAAAGTCAAACTGTGCTGGGAGCCACGTTAAATTTGCAGCTTAACTGCCCTACGGCCACAATGCATGGCAGCTGTAGCTGTAGCTGTAGCTTGGCTTTGCTTGCCTTGGCTTACGTTACGTATACGCAACGTCTGAGGTTTGGCAATAAAATTGCGCATTGTTGTTGACTTCTGCTGGATGTTGTTGTTGTTGTTGTTGTTGTTGTTGTTATTGTTACTGTGAAATACCAAGCATTGCGAGATTTATATGTTTAGCTCGCTTAAGTGGTAGTCAGACATTGGTTTTAGGTTGAGCATAAGACAACTTTATAAGCAAAGCGCATGGCTTGCAGTCTAGACAGACAGACATTCGCTCCGACTCCTGCTGTCAGGCAGTGGGGGCCAGTCAATGGTGACATTCAAATGCTGCCAGCTGCCAGCTGCCTGCCGCACAGATTTATGCGAAAACCTACCAAAAATCGGTGGGTCAACATTCTGTGGGGCAGCTGTTGGGATTTGCTGCATAGTTGTTGTGCTGCGCAAAACTTTTGCACATTTCCTACACAGCATTTCCAGCAGAGAGAGAGGGAGAGAGTGTGAGAGAGAGGGGACAGCATAGTTGAAAGGGAGCTTGTGCTTTATTATTATTTTGTAGCTTCATTTTTATATTATCGGTGGCAAGTTTTCTGCTATTTTGGGCACAACTTATGGTGTAAAAACTGGAAGCGGAGTTGCTCGTGCCAACTTCCTACGACCAAGGAAGTCGCAGACCGTGCGAAAACTTTCAGAGGGCCTAGGCTGGGGCTCTCGGGTCTGGGGCAATGTTTCCTTTCCACACAAAATTTGTTTAATTAAAATTTTTGTGAAAATCTGTAAATTGTTTGGCTCCGCCGCTTCACTGCGCTGCGCTCGAGCTGCGAGTCGGCCTCAGTTGAAATATTCCTGGTCCGCAGATAGTTGGAAAAACAACAAAATGTATTGCCAGCAACTATGAAATTGCTAAGTTATTGAACTGCTCTCTGGGCACACGACTTGCTCGGGGCATTCGCTCTCGCTCTACCCACAGACCGCAGCAGCTTAATAATTAATCTAGAACTTCATTACTTTTGCATTTATTTGGACGAAATGTCCACAATCTGTCAACCTGCCTTCGAAGTTGACTTGCTCCTGCCTCTAATTTAGTTATCCTCTTTCATCTCGCTAACTGCGTGGCCATCAATTATTTACTAATGCTCGTATAATAGAGCTGCATAATTTAACACTAGAGTTTTTCGCATGGCATTCATCAATTCATCATGCGAGAGAGATAACATAACACATATACCGAGCCAACTGCGAGGGAACTATGCGACCCCAAAAGGACAACACGCACAAAATTATTCAAGTCAATGAACAATTTAATTTATCATTAATATAAAATCGGACAGTTTGTGTCGCCTTGGCGTGCTGCCATACCAAAAGATGCAGAGAGATAGAGAGAGATAGAGAGACAGAGAGAGAGAGAGAGAGAGAGGGGGGAGCGCCAACCACTTGAGCTAATCTCATATATCATCCTTGATCTGGCAGCGAAGCGAACCGAAGCATCGATGATTTTTTTTCTCTCATTTTTTTCCAATACGTATGATTTTACTTTCAAATGCGCCCCCGCTACAACTTTCTTGCGCCATCTCTCTCTCTCTCTCTCTCTCTCTCTCTCTCTCTCTCTCTCTCTGCCTGTCTGTGTGCCATAATTCTAAGCAGGAAAGTTGCTGGCATCAGCAGCCGGCAGTCTGACCATTAATACTCAATTGGCTGTGCTTCCTGTGCGGCTTGTGGTTGCTTGGCCTCCGCTGGTCCTACGCTGCCAACGTCATCATGGCCATCATCATCATCATCATTATCATCTTTGTCGTCTTGTGCTGACACTTGAATTGAATCGAAATTGGTTATTAGCAATTCTTACGAGATGCTACGTCTCCGACTCCTGCTTGCGACTCCTGCTCCGCTTGTGACTCGGACTCCTCTGACTCGGAGGTCCGTGCGCGTCTCACTTGAAAGGGGAATATATTGCAACGGAGAAAAAAATATGTGTATATATATAAAAGATAATAAAAATTGGAAAATCCGTGTTTGTGT